TTCAAGAAGCAACTCAACTGTTCTACTTCTCTATCATTTCAAAATCCCCTAATAGATGTTCAATTTTCAAAGAAAATAATGTTGCATTTTGACCGTTTTCCCCTCTAGATGCCCTAGACAGACGTGAGGTTGCAATACTAACCTTGACTTTGAATTGCTTTTCAGTTCATGTCATTGTAAACTTAGCATAAAACCCTGTGCTTCCCCAGAAAGTATGTATCTTGTTGCTAGCACAATGATTGAGTCCACTTGTCTATTCCAGGACACGAGAGGATCTAACTAAGTCAGAACACCCCACGTCTAGCCCATATATCTATTTATTACCGAATTCACCGGGAAAGACAAGCTGAGTTATCATTTAGCTGAGAAAACCTGAGAGGCATTTATGTGCATGAAGTACAGCACAGACAGAGCCATCAAGGCAGGCTTGAAGGAAACACATTACACACTCAGCCTACGCAAATCCCCTCGCCACTGCCACTGGAGCCGAATGAATGGTGCAGACGACAAGAGCGGCCCTAGGATGCTTGTCTTCTCCCCAGCCCCCATCCCAACCCTCAACGATTATGAATACAATCGTTTGTGACAGATTGCTCCCCAGTCTTCCGCCTTAAATTCTATATGATAAATTCAACATGAAGTGACAGTCACAGCAAGTGTTCAGAGCTCTATCTAAAAAAACTAATTTTACTGAAGTTAGAACTCGATGAACAAGAAAATGTGAATGTACACCTAAGGTGTATCTCAAAACTTTAATCTCTATGAATGCCATCATGGTAATTTATGGCTGGGATGATATTAATATTTTAAAATATTTCGCTAAAGAAGCACTGTGAGACTTTAAAGTTGTATTGTTATGCAAAGATGATAATATTTCAATGGGTCCTTCCCAGTGCTGGTATGTTAATGGGGCAAGAAAAAGAAAACAGCTGCTTTTGTTACCCAAGCAGCAGACATAATAAGACTGTCCTGTGGTTAATTTCTAGGAAAACGCTCTTCTTCCTTTTTTATTATTTGGGGGTGAAAAAATGTCTTGGGCTACTATTGTCTGTTTAAATTAGGCAAATGCAATTAAGAAGAGTCAAATGTACACAGGCTCCAATGATGGGTAAAATTAAGGTCACCAGTTGCAGCCCTAATCCAAGCTGCGTTGCTTAATCTCAGCTTTAGCCATTACAATTGTGTGGAATGGAAATGTCTTGCTCGTGTTGGGGTTAATGTAGACTGACTGGGTAGCCAGAGATAAATCCTGCAGGCCTGCTTGAATGTGCAAGTGCTTAACACTGACATTTTGAAAAAGTAAAATTGGGTTTCATTCCCCAGGATTAGGTCAGAGTCCTTTCCTTGTCCCCGCCCCTGCCCCGACCCCGCCTCTCCAAACTAAGCAGAGAAGCAGAAGAACATTTTTTCTTGCCAATTTTTTTTTTTTTTTTTTTTTACCCTCAGGGATCCTTTGCATTTGCCATTTGTGTACATTTCTTGCTCATTCCAAACAGGAAAGTTCTGTTGCCTCACAAAAAAAATAGTAGTTGTCTTCCTTTTCATATTCATAAAGGTTATATTTGTGTTGCTTGATATTATTTTACCTTGTTAAGGAGTTGTTTCAGGTACTCAGTAGATATAGAGAAAACATTTAGCATATAAAAACAAAAAGTTGACATTTACAGCCAGGAGCTAGGTACGCAATTGCAAAGGTCATCAATGAGTAAACAGATATTAATGGTTAGCCGGATAACTGGTACATAAACAGGTCACATTAATAATTAACACCAGGAAAAACTAGCACTTCCAACCAACCTCAGGAAAGTGGGTGCCAGAGGAAACCCCCCAAAAATATAAGAAAACCCCAGTGGTGATTTCTGATTGTTAGAGAGTGAAAAAATTACTTCTTCTTTTTTATGTTTCTCATATTCTCACCAAAAAACAGTTCTGAGACAGTCATGATAAAAAGTAAGTGCAATGATGGAGGAAAATTTTCTGGATGACCACTGATATGATAAATTTTACTTAGTCTAACATTTGTGGTTCTTTTGTTTTCCTTCCATGGCAATGTGTAAAATCACTCAGGAAATGTATTTTATCACTAACCTGCAAAGCCTCTCTAAAAGTATTGGCTTCCTTGTTGAGTTATTAAGTCCATGCCTTGTTTTAAAACTTCTGCGCTAAGAGGGTTACATTTTGTACCCGCTGATTGGCATTCACCCAGTTGTTTAATGGGAAAAGGTCAAGTCCAAGCTGTAGACTCAAAGGCAAATGTGTTGGGGGTGTGGCAGGGAATCCTGATGAGTGAAGTGGGTGCCCCAGGGACCATGAGGAACCTGGGAGTGAATGTGCCTTAGCCCCACAGAAAGCCCCTAAGAGCCACAGCATCATATCTTTAGATTTTTTAAAGAAGCCGTATTTTGTGTGAAATCTCTAGATTTATAACTCATGGGCCAAACAATACGTTATCTACTGCAGGCCACACCAGACCAGTTTAAATCTCCCGTTTAAATTAAAAACAAATAAATAAACAAACAAAAAAGGACACCTGAAAATTTGCCAAGGAGGAAGAAAGCGTGAGTGTATCTTTACAATTTATTCTACGGTTTCTCTTCTCCTTTAAATACACAGTTCACTATAGGATTGTCCTAAAGAGAAAGCTAATAAAATAAGACAATAGACTTCATAGAGATCTGGAATATCCGCAAGGACCTGAAACGGATCCTTAGAACTCTGTAGATGAAAGTCAGATGAGATACTTTTATACACATAGCCTAATGGTTTACAGATGAGTGAGTAGCACTGCTTTCAAATATAATGTGAAGAAACCAATTTTTAAATAAATGTGTAGCTTGACTATCAAGCCCACAGGAGATATTGTGACTTACCCAACTTGAAAATCAAATTATTTAAGGTTGGTTATACTAATAACAGCCTCTAACCAACTGCTAAGGTGGACTATAAACCCAGACTAGCCACAGGCAGCAAATGAGATGGGTTCGAGAGGATATGGAAATAAATAAGATACAAGTCTTGTTTACTAGTTAAATGTGGGGTAGACTTCAACAGATGTGAACTACAAAGTGTGTATGGGAACTTGTTTCTTGTTGAAGGAGGGCTGTGGGCCAAATGTCCTCATAACCTGGTGCCTCTCCACTTCTCCACAGTCACATCCCCACCACATGGTACCTTGTCACCACTGACAATAGCCCCAGAGAGCCATGCTTTCTCCTGTCTCCCAGACTCTCTTCACCTCAAGTATCTCCATGTCACCTTTACTTTCCCGTGTCCCTTTTGAATCCCATAAAGTTCAACTAAGTTCAAGTGTCCCCTCCCCTCTTCCAGAAGGCCTCATCTAAGCCCTCCAGGGGGCCTCTCCCTTGTGTTCCCTCAAATACCTCTGTCAACCTCTGGGCCAGCCACGACTTCTCACTATAATCATGGGCGCAAGTGCCTATCACCTCACAGGACTGCAAATTCCTTGCTCAAGGCAGAGGCTACTGCTTTCATCTTCAAACCCCCACCACCTAGCCCTGTGCTTGCAAAACAGCATATTAATGCTGGACAAATGCATAAATGAAGGAAATGAATGGGCCTCTAAGTGATAATGCTTAGAAAAGAGACTCTGATAAGTGAAATATAAATGCATAAATCTGCTACAGCTTTTTTTTTTTACTTTGTCTAAATCTTTGCACGTGTTTGCTGCAATTACATCTGTGACAGCAAGTTTTATTCTGAACGGATCTTATTAATAAAAGTAATAAAATATCAAACAATTCAGGTCTTCGGCTTTTTAATCTACAAAGGGGAGATTGATAGTGCCTGCCTTGCTAGGCAGAGAGGATGGTTGAGAGGACTACCTGAAATGATGTATGTGATCATGTACAAGAGTGAGCCCCAACTGCAATCTGCACTGAGGGAGCGACCCCCCTGAGAGCTGCCATCTCTACTCATCTCTGACTGTCTGGCTCTATTAAAATACTCTGCCTACGTCTATGACCCAATCTTTGTATGAGCAAGCCTCTGCCTCTAGTCTTAGGATCCCCAGACCTAGCACAACATCGGCGCATAGCAAGTGTTCACTAAGTGTTTGTAATATGAGGATGTACATGACAAACATCATGGTCGTTTCATTCATTCAAACTGCACAAGGCACCATTAAACAGGACAAAACGTGAAGGCAAAAAGGGGGAAACAGAAATGATTGAGAGGCTAACATTTACAAGGCACCCTATATATCTGATTTTGTTTACTTCCTAGGTTATTTCACGTCACCTGTGAAATAGCTAATGTTGTCCTTAGTTTGTATGGAAGGGCTCTGAGCATTAATAAGTTGGTATTATGCCAATGAATGACTGGTCAATAACAGGCAGAGCCAGGGTTTGAACCCAATACATCACACCACATCTCTGTGGTAAAACTCTTACACTCCAGGCACTGACAGTCTGCAGCACATCTGACCTCACAGAGTCAATAACATGGAAAGATGAACAAAAACTCAGGGCACGTCTATTCAACTCCCAGATCACCAAGGAGGAAACTGAGGTTCAAAGGGAAGTATATGAATGAGGCCAGAGACAGTCAGTAAAAAAGTATGTTAGTAAAAAGCTCTTTTTTTTTTTTTTTTTTTTTGAGACAGAGTCTCACTCTGTTGCCCAGGCTGGAGTGCAGTGGCGCGATCTCGGCTCACGGTAAGCTCCGCCTCCCGGGCTCACATTCTCCTGCCTCAGCCTCCTGAGTAGCTGGGAATACAGGCACCCACCACCAGGCCCGGCTAATTATTTGTATTTTTAGTAGAGATGGGGTTTCACCATGTTAACCAGGATGGTATCGATCTCCTGACCTCGTGATCGGCCCGCCTCGGCCTCCCAAAGTGCTGGGATTACAGGCATGAGCCAGTGTGCCTGGCCGTAAAAAGCTCTTATGATTCACACTCACAAGTTAAGTCATATTTCTATACCATTTCCATCACATTTACATGTGACAGTTCATGTTAAGTGTAATAAAATATTAAATAATTCAGATTTTCAGCTTTTTAATCTACAAAGGAATTTTTAAATAATTGTACTTTGTTTCATCGAATGGCCTTTACAAAAATAGCATATATTTTCAGTTCACAAAGAATTACATCTTACATAACTAAACAAAGTTTCTCTCACAAAATACCAGTGACCTCTTTCTTAAACAACAGGCCAAGACTACTGACTGAAACCCTGGCAGAGACAGTATAACTCAACTGAGAAAGGCCTCATAAACAAATAACTAAAGTAATAATTAAACACTAGGAAAGAGCAAAGATATTTGCTCTTTAAAAATCAAACGAAAAATAAAGTAAAATAAAATAAAATAAAACCTCTGTGAACATTGCTTCGGTCATCTATAAAAGCTTTCCCAAATTCCAAATGGCTCTGTTATTAGCGATTCTTAATGCATGAGCTAGTCATTTAAGGATAAATCTTTCAGTAATTCAAAACAAGGACTCTTCAGTAAATAGTTGAAATTAAGGGGGGAGTTCGAGTCATCTGGTTTCCATTAGGATGATAAAATAGTTCACTCGAAACCTTTTACAATATGCTTTGTTACCGGGAGGTGTCTGTGCATCTCACTCCATCACTAGCCATTTGACACAACATAAAAAGCTTCAAAAGCCATGTTAGGCCTCTTAATCAAAAACTAATTGTAATAGATATTGGGGAGTGTTAACACGGTGACCGCTAGGTTGTAGCTGTGGTATGGAAGCTGCAGCGAACATTAAACACAACCCCGGGTTGATAGGGCTTATCTCAATTTCAGAGCTAAGTGCTAAGTACTACAGGCCAGTATCTCCTTGCTATGGCTTTGTACCACTTTTGGAGTTAATTGCCCCAGAAGGCTACATCTTCTTAATGAAATTTATAACATTGTCAGAGAACTTGGAAGATACTGCTGCAGTTTAGCAGACTTCACAGAAAACAGAGACATAAACAGAAGGGAAAAGAAAATACATACTTGGAGCCTAATGCATCTGCAGCCCGGGCAGAGGTGGTGCAGAACTCCCCAGGCACAAAGGCATTTGCAGCACATTAACTCTTTCAAGCCTGTAATGGAACAGTCATTGCACTCTAATGGAAAGGTAATAATTGGTATCACAGGGCCAGTGGTAGACATTCAATAAATACTTAATGATGAGTTTTGCATGGCTAGAATTACCAGCAAGCAAGAACTGGTGTCTTTTTTTGTGTGGTTCCTGTGCCTAACCTAGTGCCTAAGATATGACTGGTGCTCAGGAAATCGTTTCTGAAAAATTGATGAATGAATAAATGATCTTACTAGAGTGCAGTGCTTGATAATTTTCAGAGTGCTTTCATGTTTGATTCCCACAACCATCCACTTGATAGGTCTAGGGTTTTATTAATAACCAATCCTGGTCTCGAACGGGCACTTCATGGTTCCCTTTCCAGTCTTCTTTGCTTCAGATGGACTAGAGCGATGTTCTGTACTACCACGTTTTTAAATGACTAAGGAGGATTTTAAAACTTAAAGACTACCAGCGATTTTAGATTGGTGACTGGATCCTGGAACACACACATACACAAAACAATTAGAAGAAAAACTGGTGAAATCTGATAAAGTCTGGAGTTTAGTTAATAGTATTATGCTTAATTGTAGTTAATTCCTTGGAATCATGGCTGTGGGTAAGAAGTTAACTTAAGGGCAAGCTGGGTGAAAAGTGTATAGGACTTCTCTGTACTATTTTGAATTTTTCTGTAACTCTAAAATTATTTAAAAATAAAAACAATTTGATAATAACTAATTTACCTTTAAAATTATATGTATTAACATATTGTAGTGTATTGTATTCACATTATGGTGCCAAATTGGCACTGGGATAATTATAAGTAAATACTCCTGGAGAAAAGCAAAGTATAATTTTTCAACTAACCCCTTAGAAAAACATTTGCAGATGTGTAAAGGCAACATAATTTCCTTTTCCAATTTATAAGTATTATTTTTTGAGACAGGGTCCAGTTCTGTCACCCAGGCTGAGTGCACTGGTATGAGCATGGCTCACTGCTCCCTTGATCCCCAACCCCACCCCACCCCACCCCACCGGGCTCTAGCAATCCTCCCATCTCAGCCTCTGGAGCAACTGGCACCACAGGCACATGCCACCATGCCCAACTGATTTTTGGATTTTTGTAGAAATAGAGTCTTGTTATGTTACCCAGGCTGGTCTTGAACTCCTGGGCTCAAGCAATTCTCCTGCCTCGGCCTCCCAAAGTGCTAGGATTATAGGTGTGAGCCACCACACCCGGCCATCCAATGTGTATTTCCTTACAGTGTTTTTGTATCCTGATAAAGTAGAGTTGTTTTGTAATTAACACATACAAGTGAAATTTTTACCACTGTTTTCGTATTTATAAAATTATTAACATTAAAAATAATTTAAAATTATTATTATTATTAATTTTTAGTATAGACGGGGTTTCATCACGTTGGCCAGGATGGTCTCAGTCTTTTGACCTCGTGATCTGCCCGCCTCAGCCTCCCAAAGTGCTGGGATTACAGGCATGAGTCACCGTAATTAATTTTTAAATGAATAATTTGTTTTAGAAAGAAAGACAAACAGCACACAGGGAATTAAAGGAAAAGGCTAATCCTGATGACAGAACAACCCATGTGATTTTTTTTTTTTTTTTTTGAGACGGAGCTCACTGCAAGCTCCGCCTCCCAGGTTCATGCCATTCTCCTGCCTCAGCCTCCCAAGTAGCTGGGACTACAGGCGCCTGCCACCACGCCTGGCTGATTTTTTGTGTTTTTAGTAGAGACAGGGTTTCACCGTGTTAGCCAGGATGGTCTCGATCACCTGACCTTGTGATCTGCCCACCTTGGCCTCCCAAAGCGCTGGGATTACAGGTGGAGCCACCACGCCCAGTGGTCCATGTGAGTTTTTGCAGATGATTCCCAAACTTAAATTTCTCACTTGGACATCTGTCCTGAGCTCCAATCCAAACATTCACAGCACCGGTCAACTTGAAGAGCTCAGCATAATCTCCAACCAGTTTCCCCTTCAGTCACTCTGCTATATTCTGACCTTGGCTAATGTCTACTATACTCACCTCTCTTCTGTTCCCCCCGGCCACACCCTTCCACCTACTGAAGTTCTCCACCTAACCATCCAGGGGGTGGCTGAGGTCACCTTCCTCCTCTACGTCTTCTTCCAGCACTCCTTTGCTCCCCTCAACTTGAACTACACTTCCACAAAAGTCCATTTCAAACTCCGCTCTTGTGTTTCAAATTGTGTTTTCTGTTAGCTATTTATGCAGACAACTCCTACTTGAAACTTTCAGAGGATCAGGACTGGTCATATGTGTCCTGATACCCTCAGAGTTTTTCATCTGGAACCATCTGAACATAGATTCATGGGAAAGAACAATAAATCTTAAAAAATATATATCATGACACCAAAGATGTTATTCTATAAGTGAGAAGATTGGTTTGACTGCTTTTAAAGTGGCAAAAATAACAATGGCCAATATCTGGTAGAGAATGTATTTCTCTCTGGCATTAGAGTGATTCTGTAGGCTCACTCATCAAGTGGCCCAGCATCCCAGCTCCTGACATTGTTGCTCTTAACGACCAGTTCAAAGATGGCAGCCAGGCACCTTGGCTCATTCCTGTAATCCTATCATTTTGGGAGGTTGAGGTGGGAGGATTGCTTGAGCCTGGGAGGGGAATGCACACCGTTGCATGTGCAATATTTTTAGCATTAAAAATAATTTAAAATTATTTAATTTTGTAAAAGAATAATTTGTTTCAGAAAGAAAGACAAACAGCACACAGAGAATTAAAGTAGAAGGCTAATCCTGATTATAGAACAACCCATGTGATTTTGAAGTTTTTTGCAGTGGCTGGCTGCCACAGCATGCCAGCCTGGGGAGTCAGAGTGAGACCCTGTCTCAAAAAAACAAAAATAAAAACAAAACAATGGCTCAACCCCTCATGTGCACACTTCAGCCTGCCTAAAATGGGAAGGAGGACATAGAGAGCCATCAATTTTCTTTTAAGGGTACAACAGAGCAATTTCACAAGACATTTTTTTCTTACCCTATAGGCCAGAATTCAGTCAAATGAGTAGACCTACCTGAAGCTGGGAAAAAAGTCCAGTAAATGGCCTTACACTCATCTAAAACAGATACGAGAAAATGAGATATTAGTGGGTATTATGAACCCCTGCCTCTGTTTTTTTACCTTATAAAAACTTATCTACCAAGATGTTTATTTTATAGACATTTTCCTACAAAGCATATTACTAGATTTTATAACAGCATTGAGATATAATTTGCATATCATAAAATGTATCCCCTTAAAGTGTACAATTCAGCAGTTTTTAGTAAATCCACAGTTATACAAACATCACCACTATCTAATTTCAGAACATTTTCAACACCTCGAAAATAAATCCCATGTCCATTAGCAATCACTCCCTATTCTTCCCTCTCCCTGCTCCTGACAACTGCTAATTTACCTTCTGTCTCCATGAACTTGCTTGCATTAGACATTTCACAGAAATGGAATCATACAATGCAGGGGTTTTGGTGCCTGTCTTCTTTCATCCAGCATAACGTTTTCAAGGTTTATCTATGTCGTAGCATGCATTAATTCTGTACTTCATTCACTTTTATGACCAAATAATATCCATTGTATGGGTATATTGCATTTTGTATTTCAAATCATCAGTTGATGAACATCTGGGCAACTTCCACTTTTTGACTATTATGAGTAATGCAGCTAAGACCATTCTTGAAGAAGTTTTTCTGTGGACATATGTTTTCAACTCTTCTGGGTTTATACTAATCATGGAATTACTAGATCATATGGTAATTCTATCTTTAACATTTTGAGAAACAACCAAACTGTTTTCTATAGAGGTTGTAGCATTTCACCATTCCACCAATAATATATGAGGGTTCCAATTCCTCTGCATGCTCACCAACACTTGTTATTGTCTGTCTTTTTAAATTTCAGCCATTCTAATGAGTGTGTCAGGAGTCTCATTGTGGCTTTGATTTGCATTTTCCTAGAGACTAATGATATTGACCATCTTTTCATGTACTTTTGCCCACCTGTATATCTTCTTCAGAAAAAAATGCTTATTCAAATCCTTTGCCCATTTTTAATTACATATTTGTCTTTTTATTATTCAGGGTTTTTTTGTTTTTTGTTTGTTTTTGAGATAGAGTTTAGCTCTTGTCGCCCAGGCTGGAGTGCAATGGCACAATCTCAGCTCACCACAACCTCCGCCTCCTGGGTTCAAGCTATTCTCCTGCCTCATCCTCCCGAGTAGCTGGGATTACAGCCACACACCACCACACCTGGCTAATTTTGTATTTTTAGTAGAGGCGAGGTTTTTTCCATGATGGTCAGGCTGGTCTCGAACTCCCAAACTCAGGTGATCCTCCCACCTTGGCCTCCCAAGGTGCTGGAATTACAGGCGTGAGCCACCGCACCTGGCCTGTTATTCAGTTGTAAGAGCACTTTATACAAAGTGCTTGATACAAGTCTCTTCTTAGATATACGACTTGAAAATATTCTGTCACATTCACTGGCTTGTGTTTTCCTTTCTTTTTTTTCGAACTAGGGTCTCACTCTGTCACCCAGGCTGAAATGCATCTTGTGATCACAGCTCACTGCAGCCTCAGCTGATACTTCAACCTCAGCCTCCCAGGTAGCTGGGACAACAGGTGCACACCACCGTGCCTAGCTAATTTTTTTATTTTTATTTATTTATTTATTTATTTTTGCAGAGAGGGCGTTTCACCATGTTGCCCATGGTCTCCAACTCCTGGGCTCAAGCAGTCAGCCCTCCTCAGCCTACCTAAGTGCTGGGATTACAGGCATGAACCACGTGCCAATCTGTTTTTACCTTTTTGGTGGTGTTCTAAAGCACTGCAGTTTTTTTGTTATCCTTAATAAAGTCAAATTAGGCCAGGCACAGTGGCTCGTTCTTAGGTCTATGATCCATTTTGAGGTAATTTTTGGATATGATGCAGGATAGAGTGTCTAAATTTACTCTTGCAAGTGGATTTCCAATTGTTCTGGCATCATATTGGGGGATTATTCTTTCCTCCATTGACTTGCCACCCTAGTCAAAAATTAATTCACTGAACATGTAAGGGTTATTTCTGAACCTTCCATTTTGTTCCATTGATCTAAATTTCTATCCTTATGCCAGAACCACACTATCTTAATTACTGTACCTAAATTTTCAAGTTGAGAAATGTTAGTCCCCTAATTTTGTTCCTTTTCAAGGTTTTTTGTTTTGTCTATTTTCGATCCCTTGAACTTCTATTTAAATTTTGTTCTTTTTCAAGGGTTTTTGTTTTGTCTATTCTCGATCCCTTGAATTTCTATTTAAATTTTAGGACCAACTAGTTATTTAATGCAGAGGGGGAAGCAACTAAGATTTTGAAAGGGAATGTCTTCAATCTGTGGACCATTTAGGGAAGTATTGCCATCTGAACTATATCAAGTCTTCCAAATCATGAACATGGGATATTTTGCCAATTATTTAGGTCTTTTAAAATTTCTTTCAAAAATGTTGGGCAGTTGTTAGTGTAAACATTTTGCTCTTCTTTGTTAAATTTATTCATAAATATTTTATTCTTTTTGATACTGTTAAAATAGAATTGTTGTCTTAATTTCATTTTCAACTTGTTCATTGCTAGTGTATAAAAATAGAATTTATTGATTTTATTACATACTGATATATTGATCTTGTATTCTGCAACCTTGATAAACTCAACTATTAGCACTAATGAATTTTTTTTTTTTTTTTTTTTTTTTTTTTTTTTTTTTTAAGACGGAGTCTCGCTCTGCCACCCAGGCTGGAGTGCAGTGGCCGGATCTCAGCTCACTGCAAGCTCCGCCTCCCGGGTTCACGCCATTCTCCTGCCTCAGCCTCCCAAGTAGCTGGGACTACAGGCGCCCGCCACCTCGCCCAGCTAGTTTTTTGTATTTTTTAGTAGAGACGGGGTTTCACCGTGTCAGCCAGGATGGTCTCGATCTCCTGACCTCGTGATCCGCCCGTCTCGGCCTCCCAAAGTGCTGGGATTACAGGCTTGAGCCACCGCGCCCGGCCACTAATGAATTTTTAATAAATTCCTTGAGATTTTCTGTGAACAAGATAATGTCATCTTCAAAGAGAGTTTTATTTCTCTCTTGTCAGGCTGGGTACATATATGTTTTAATTTTAAAGTCTTTCAGATGGATTGACCCTTTTATTATTATAAAATGTCTATCTTTGTCTTTAGTAACAATTTTTGTCTTGAAGTCTATTTCATCTTCAAGAAAGCCACTCCAGTTCTCCTTTGGTTACTGTTTGCCTAGTTTGTTTCCATCCCTTAACTTTCAATGAATTTGTGTCTTTGAATCTAAAGTGTGTCTCTTGTAGACAGCATAGAGCTGGATTATGTTTTTTGTCCATTTTGCCAATCTCTGTATTTTTACTGGAGTGGTTAACCCATTTCTATTAAGTAATTACAAATAAGGTAAGTTTATATCTCCCACTTTGCTATTTGTTTTCTATATATCTTATACCATATTTGATTCCTCTATTCATCCATTATTGCCTTATTTTATATATATTGCGTAGTATATTGTTTTAATATCCTTGCTGCTTGTTTTACCATTTCTAAAATTTTCTTAGTCGTTGCCCCATATATTATGATCAACAACCCAATTTAGAACAATCTAGTTGAAATTATTACCAACTTAATTTCAATAGTACTAAAATTTTGTTTTGATATAGCTCCATTTCTTCTCTCTCCTTTGTGCAATTTTGTCAATTAACTTGTATCTTAACACAGTGTAAGCCCATAAACACAGTTTTATAATTCTTGCTTTAGGAAGTAGGTATTTAAATAAAAGAATAAAGGATTTACAAACAAAATACATTTGTACTATATTTTTTATTTACTTATGTAGTACATTTACCAGTTACTCTCTAATGTCCTTTCATTTCAGCCTGAAGGACTCTCTCTTTAGTAGTTCTTGTAGGGCAGGTCTGCTAGTAGCAATCTCTCAGTTTTTCCTACTCTGGAAATGATTTTATATACCCTTTATATTTGGAGAAAAGTTTCATTTAATATAGAAGTCTTGATGAATAGTCTTCTATCATCCTTTTGAATATGTAAACGGTAGCCTTTTGATATTCATGGGTTTTTATCAGAAGTCAATTGTTAAATCTTACTGTGGACTCTATGATTCTTCTGTTGCTTTCAAGATTTTCTCTGTCTTGATAGTTTATAATGTATCCAGGTGTGGATCAATTTGTGTTAATTTTACTTGGAGTTTTTAAAATTTTTAAATGTACAAGTTCACGTTTTTTATCAAGTTTGGGAAGTTTTCAGCCATTATTTTCTCAAATATACTTTCAACCTTTCTTCTCTCCTCTTCTGTGATTATTGCATATATTTTAGTACACTAGATAGTGTCCCATAGATTCATTTTTATTCATTTCTTTTTCCTTTTTCTTCCTGATACTAGATAATCTCAGTTGAACTATCTTTAGGATCACTGATTCTTTCTTCTGTCGGTTAGCATCTGCTGTTGGGCAACTCTAGCAAATTTTTATTTCAATTATTGTATTTTTTGATTTTAGATTTCTATTTTTCTTTTTGATAATTTCTATCTATTCATTGAAATTCTCTATTTGGTGAAGTATTATTTTCATGCTTTCATTTAGTTCTCTAAATATGTTTTTCTTTCCTTTTTTAAAATTATTCATAGTAGCTGACTTAAAGTTTTTGCATAGTAATTCCAACATCTGGACTTCTTCAAGTACCATTTTTATTTACTTTACTTTTTCCTGTTTCCTTGTGTATCTCATACATATTTATTGAAAACTGGACATATATATAATATAAAATATAAATATAAAATAAAATTATAAAAAATATATATAATTATATAATGTGGCTACTCTGGAAAGAAGATTCTTTCAAGGTTTGTTATTGTTGAAGTTTATTGTTGTTGCTGCTGTTTGTTCAGTGACTTTTCCAAACTAATTCTGTAACATTTGTACTCTTTGTCATGTATAGCCACTAAAGTCTCCGTTTAGAAACTCTGTGCTTAGCTAATGCTTAGACAGAGGGGTTTTTTTTCTTTTTCTTTTCTTTTCTTTTTTTTTGAGACAAGGTACAAATACAGTTCACATCAACCTCAACTTCCTGGGCTCAGGTGATCCTCCTGCCTAGCCTTCCAAGTAGATGGGATCATAGGGGCATACCACCACACCCAGCATTTTTTTTTTTTTAAAGACACAGGATCTCACCAAGTTGTCCAGGCTCGTCTCACAGTCCTAAGCTCAAGTGATCCTCCTGCCTTGGCCTCCCAAAAGGTAGGATTGTAGTCATGAGCCACCATACCCAGCCCAGAGATTTTCTTAAATGACATGAAACAATGAGTCCCCTAGGCTTCGGTAAGAAGTTCTGGAAGAGGAAGGGCATCTACAATGCTTAGTCAGGTCATTGAGAATTCTGCCTCTGCCTTCACTTCCTGCTTACACAGAACCTTTAGGTCAGTCACAGATGAGTGCTCAGAATCTCCTCAGATTTTTCTGGAGCAGGTGCATAGCCCTGAACTTGCATGTGGAATTCCAGATTCCTGGGAATATGTTGGAGCTTTTCAAACCCTTCTATGGTCATACCATTCTTTAGTTTTTCCTTTTTAAATGTTTTGCTCAGCCTCTTGGTAGCCTCGTCTGTTAATATCACCTCAGGTAGCTGCCACATTAAATAATTGCCATTGACTGTTTTCAACAAATAGTTTAGCAAAAGGCTATTTGTACAGAGTTAAGTCTGAGTCATATCAAAGACAAACTGTGAAACAGGTCAAACAGTGGCAGTTTTCTGGAGATGGAACTTCTCCCCTTCAGTAGTTGCTAGGCTGCTTACTTTCAGGGCTACCATATTTATGAGGCTGTTAGTTTTCAATGTTACTACAGAACTGGAGAGAGGTGGAATGGGACTAGGGCAAGTTAAAACATCACAACACTTATTATTCTTACCAAGATTCAGCTACCTTTCTTGAATCAACACTCTTCAGATTACTGAAAACCTTTGATTAATTTTCAGAGTTCTGAAAAAGTTGCTTTTAGCTATTTTTCCAGTGCTCTTATTGCTTTTATGAGGAAGTGGTGTTTTTTTTAAAATGTCCTCATTCTATCATTCCGAAAGTGCTTTTTCACATCTTTGTATTTTAAGCTAAATAAGCTTATACCTTCAGAGTTTGTCATCATGGCATGAGTTGGGTCAAAATATAACTATGATACTGGGCACAATGGTTCACATCTGTAATCCAAGTGCTTGAGGCCAGGAGTTTGAGACCAGCCTGGGTAACAAAGTGAGAGCTTCATCTTTACAAAAAAACTTTTTTTAATTAGCCAGGTATGGTGGTGCACACCTGTAGTCCCAGCTACTTCGGAGGCTAAGCCAGGAGGATCACCTGAACCTAGGAGTTTAAAGTTACAATGAGCACCGTGATCACACCATGGCACTCCAGCCTGGGCAACAGAGTGAGACCTTGCCTTTTAAAGAATAATAATTTTATATATATATATATATATATATATATACACACACACACACACACACACATATACACACACATAAATATACACACACACATATATATAACTATATATATAGCTATATATATAACTACATATATATAACTATATATATATATGTAACTATGGCAAGGGATTTTTTTTTCAAAGTCCAAAATAGTTGTTAATCAAACCCAGGAGTGAGTCACCTCAGAGATTCTCTTATAAAAATCACTTTAAAAGCAAAACCTTAACTTCATCAGTATGCCAATGCTGATCCTCCAAATATTTGAATTTCAACTACATGCAAGCATCTGTGTTAGCTGAAATGGAAAATCCAAAGACATGATACATGAGGTCTTCTCTAAGAAGATTTAAAGAACACACACATCCCAAAAGCTAAATTATAAGACAAAGATACATGCCTCTCATTCATCCATATGCAGCACTAACCCAGAGATAAAGTAGGACCATAGTAATGATAAAAATTTATATTCCTTCCCTCTTACCTGTGATTTGCAGAAACTCCAGTTCCCATCATCATAGTCTTTTCTATTTCCACAAGCAGTCCTGAGTTCAAGAGGTATCTTAGAGAGGCTGCTTAGCCCCGTGGCTGTCAGATCTAGAGTAGTTAAAGGATAATGTCCAAGCCAGTCCTGTTTAGAGGAGGTTTCATGGGCTGTATAGCAAGAGCCTGAGCTCCATAAATGAAAAATCCATTTTCATCTCTTCTCCAAGCAGAAAGTGGTTTTTCTTCCCAAAAACTCACTTTTCACACTACCTCCTGTGGGCTTTGAATTCAAGCAGAGAAAGATCTTATTGCCATTTTCTATTAGCCTCAAGACTTCAGACATTATTTATCACTTAATGTCTAACATGTAAAATGGAAATAATAAAGCCTACCTACCACTTGGAGCTATAGGAATTAAATGAGATAACATATTTGCACTGTTTGGCTCACAGATAACTTTCCATAAATGTTTATTCTTCTTCTCAAAGCATGAATCCCTTCTTTTGAGAGACCACCAGGAGATGTACCTCATCCTGAGGGATCTGCAGGTATATGAAGGGAGCTCCTTTGTATTGCTCCATTTATTTATTTGAGACAGGGTTTTACGCTGTCACCCAGGCTGGAGCACTTTGGTGCTATCACATCTCACTGCAGCCTTGACCTCTCCAGGCTCAGGGGATCTACCAACCTTAGCCTCCCCAGTAACAACCATGCCTGATTATTATTATTTTTTTTTTTTTGGTAGAGACAAGGTTTCTCCAAGTTGCCCAGGCTGATCTCAAACTCGTGAGCTCAAGTGATCTTCCCACTACAGCCTCCCAAAGTGCTGAAATTACTGGTGTGAGTCACTGCTCTGGATCCTGCATTGCTATTATCCCAACTCAAGTATCACCTCCCCAGAGAAGCCTTCCCTGACCACTCATCCAAAATAAATTCTCATTTAGTTGCTCTCTTTCCCATTACTAAGATGGCCAATCATCCCAGTTTGCCTGGGACTGAGGGCTTACCTGAGACACAAGATTTTCTGTGCTAACACCAGGGTAGCCCTGGGCAAACTAGGAAAAGCTGGTCAACCTACCATCATCCTGCTTTGGTGTTTGTTTGGGGGGTTTTTGGCATAGTTTTTGCCTTATCTGATATAACTCGGTTTACTTTTTTTGTTGTTTCCTCATTTCCTTCAAGCAAAAATGTGAATCCCTTAAGGTTCAGACTGGATTTTGTCTGTGTGGTTTACAGCTGTGTTCAGATGCCCGTAACATTACATGACACACAATAGTCACTACACGCTATTAATATTCATGGAAAAACTGAATGAATTGCTCATTCATTAATTGATTCATTTTCTAAAATACTCACCTTTCTATTCTCCCAGTTTAATAACCTAAACACATAGGTGATGCCAACTTTTGTATGACACCACAATTAATAAAAAGGCATTTTGCATGGCTGTGATGACTGGGTTATAAGCACTTGAACCTCTGTGGTAGGGAGAACTTCAGACAGCTGTGTTCTTTTTCTTCTGATCCCAAACAATATAATTAAAAAGGATTCACTGAAATGTAGACGTTTCTACCATTTACCCTGGAATGTTGGCTCTACCAAATATAACCCAGTCTGTAAATACAAGATTAGTGTCTGTGAAGAGAAAGCTCTGCTTCTACAAAACGGCATTCAAAGGGAAATCTCCACCTTTTCTTCTTCTTATAGAAGCAGGAGCATTACTCATAAGACCCATAATTACTTTAAATATTCCACAAGGATATCAGAGCTACAAATGTTAAAACACAATCTGAGACCGCATCTTTGGACTCTACAATGAGCCAGATAAAGATGGTGCCCTTTTCTCCACTATCAGTTTACTCCATAAATGAGAAGACATAAAGTAGTTTTAGATTTAATTAAAGTAATTGACTGGATTGCATTTTGTAGTCCTGATCGTCATTAACATTCTTGACCTCTCTGTCACATAGATGTGCCGGAGAATTTTTCCGATGGATATTTATTATGAATATTATCATCAATAAGCACCATCAACATATTAAAATTAATTTTAACTTCTTTATGGGAGACTGAAAGCACAACCAGCTTTTGAAAACCATCCACTCTAAATCATTTTTTATCGATTCAACATGACTAAACCTCAAGTACAACTAATAGGGAATTTTATGTGTGTGTAGGCAAGTTTCTATATATATAAAATATTTAATGTTATTTCATCTCTAACTCTGGTTACATTAATCATGTAACCATATTTTCCAGAGCCTAAGGATTCACTTGCTATTTTAAGCACTTACTGTGCAGTCCTCACGCTGGCTGGCTTGTTTCATGTCCACATGGTTATGCAGCGACACATGGACATTTGGTCTTATTTTGACTGCCCGCAAAGGGCTTAATAAAAGACAGGCTTTGGTGCATCAAAAGAACTTAGTCCACAGGTGTTCTGAGCGTGGCTAACTTGTATGTAGAACAAACAATTAAGCTCTGGAATTTGAGACTCTAAATTGTATCAGTTGAGCACCTGTTCTGAAGAGAGGAAAACACCTTTCATTACATTACCCAAGGGCATGACAGGCTCTGGGCTGTGTAGAGTTACAGCAGATCCTAGTCTGGCATGCTAGCTGAGATGCTGCCACTCCTTCTGTTAACGCTGCCAAGGACTTCGAGTTGAACATTTTTAGAGAATACCTCCGTCTCTGTCTCCATCTCCATTTCCATCCATGTGCCTCTCCATATCCCTTTCCACCCGTACCACTTTACTGAGCACCTACTACAAGCCAGACAAAGTGCTAAAGATTTTAAACATGGTACATGTAATCCCTCCCAATCACCCTGCAAGACTTAGTACCGAAAGTCATGTCAGTTTTAGTGGGGAAATCAGGATTCAAAGCCAGGTGGGTTGGACACCAGAACCTGTAGTCTTGATCATCATGCTATCCGGTGGGCAGCCTCCAGGTTTTCACAGGCTCCAGGGTGTCTTCTGGCCTCCTTTCTGGCTCTTCCTTCAGGTCTTAGATCTTCAGCCTTCCTACGTCTCTATTTTCGGTCATCTTCTTTTTCACTCTAAGGTGCTCCCTGATAATGCCATGCCCTCCCATTAGGGCCCCAGTCACCATCCAGAAGCCACCAGCTTTAAAACCTCTCCAGGGGCCCGGGCGTGGTGGCCCACACCTGTAATCCCAGCTACTCGGGAGGCGAAGGCAGGAGAATCACTTGAACCCCGGAAGCGAAGGTTGCAGTAAGCTGAGATCGTGCCATTGCATGCCAGCCTGGGTAACAAGAAAGAAACTCTGTCAAAACAAACAAACAAATAAACAAAAACCTCTCCAGGGAGGTTCTACTTCAACTGACTGCTCCCATCTGCACTGGAGAGACTCTCTCTCGGACTGCCCCGATGTTGTCCTTCCAGAACTGACCTAAGTGATCGTCTTTCTCAGCAAGCCTACTCCTCTTCCAGCGTGGCCAGCCTGGAAATGACAGTACCCATCAGTCACCTGAGCTCCTCCCTCTTCCTCTTCCTCTGGATCTACTTCACTCTCCTCAACCCATTCTCCACCTGGCACTGCCAGAGTAATCTTCCAAAAACACAAATGTAGTGCCTCTCCTTCAAGCCCACCAATGGCTTTTGAATTCCTTTGCAAAAAGACTTGTTGACTTGGCCAGAAAATCTGGCATGTTTTTTAGCTAGCTTCAAACCACTCTTTTTCTTTATCTCAGCTTCCTTCTCTTGCCTATCAGGTGACATGATCCTTTACCTTTTGAGAATTTCCTTAGCCCACGTACTTCCCAGATTCTCCTTCACGCCTGTGCTCAAATGTCATTGTAACAGAAAGGATTTCCCTGACCTTCCCAACTCTCTGTCTTCCATGTCCTGCTTTAATTTTTTCACAGCACTTACCACCTTTTGGTATGTAATATATTAGTTCATTCCCTTGTTTGATTTCTCTCTTCTCCCATCAGAATTCGGCTCCATTACAACAGGGATGTCTGTGTTTTGTACACTGTTGTATAACAACGGCCATATAACTGTGCCCAGTAAATAGTAGTCACTCAATAAACATTTAGTGAATAAACAGAAGTTCTTTTTCCTTGATTTGTATATATTTATCATGCAAAATATAAAAGGACTCTTGACATTTTATTTTGCTGAACTATTTTATTGTAAACAATCACGTGGATTCAAGCGAAATTTAACCTAAATCAACTAAAGGGCTGAATCTGCCCAGTCACTGACTTACACCTACAAGTACCCTGATGTCCAGGTCAGGTATACCAGGTGGACAAGCCAGCCACAGGGAGGGACCAAGTACGTCTTAATGCAAGACACAGCACTTGGCCAGGTGTGGTGACTCATGCCTGTAATTCCAGCACTTTGGGAGGCTAAGGCAGGCAGATCACTTAAGGCCAGGAGTTCAAGACCAGCCTGGACAACATGGTAAAACCCTGTCTCTACTAAAAAAATTAAAACGATTTTTAAAAATTAGCTGGCCATGGTGGTGCATGCCTGTAATTCCAGAAACTCGGGAGGCTAAGGCAGGAGAATCGCTCGAACCCAGGAGGTGGAGGTTGTAGTGAGCCAGGATCACACCACTGCACTCCAGAGCGAGACTCTGTCGCCAGAAAAAGAAAAAAAAAAAAAAGACACAGCACTTATATTGAACCAGAAGTCAGAATGCTCTGGACTATGTGTTTGTACGTGAAATTCACTATTACAGTCTGGATGGACCAGAATATCCAGTGAATGTGGCAGCCACAGCAACAGGCTCTCTGTCTCTGGGATGAAGACCATTCTTTCCTAGACAATGAATATATCTAACATACCTCTCTCTGCCTTTGCAAAGAGTAAGGGAGCCTCTTTGGATGCCAAAATATTCAGAATATTGAGGAATTTTGATTGCCCAGAATATTGGGAATGTACAGTCACTATAACAAAAAAAGGGACCTTTTTCGTAACAGTCTTAGTCACTGATGTGATAATAACAATAATGACAGCATCTGACATATATGGATTGCTTACAATGTGTCAGACACTGTACATAGTCTCATTTACTCTTCACAATACCTCTAAGAGGTGGAGAGTTCATTGTCCCCATTTTACAGATAAAAGAAAGCTAAAGCTTAGTGAAGTTGGGTAATTTGCCCAAAGTCATGCAGCTGGTTAACCAAAATGTGACTGAAATAACCGTCTTGATCCAAAGCTCATATTTCCTCATGATTTTGCCTTCCAACCTGAAAATTAGAACCATCAATCCCTTCAAGAAACTTTAAAGCTGGTTTTCGCATAGTAAAGATGAAAAGAATGCCATTATAAACATAAATGGTGAAAGGAACAATATAAAGTAGTAGTAAACGAACACCAAATAGCCCAGCTAAAAAAGTGCCTCAAGAGTTAGAGGAAAAACTATGTCAATCTGAGTTAGAATCATCGGAGTGGGCTTCATAAAGGAGGTGACATCTCAGTTGGATGAGCTTGGAAAGATAGCAGGGATAATGATGATTTTTCCCAAAGGGAGAATCCAAAAGGCCATCCAAACTGGGCATTCAAAAGGGAGAAACAGCATAAACAGAGCCATAGCAAGAGAAGTTCAAAGAGGTTAAACTGGGAACTGGGGCAGTGTTTTCTAAACTGTTCAACCAAGTAACCAT